TGAATCATATGTTACACATTTTTTTTTTAAGACAGAGTCTCACTCTGTCACCCTGGGTAGAGTGCAGTGGCATCATCATAGCTCACTGCAACCTCAAACTCCTGTGCTCAAGTGATCCTCCTGCCTCAGCCTCCCGAGTAGCTAGGACTAGAGGCACACGCTACAACGCCCAGCTAATTTTTCTATTTTTAGTAGAGACGGGGTGTCACTCTTGGCTCAGGCTGGTCTCAAACTCCTGACCTCAAGCGATCCTCCCACCTCCTCCTCCCAGAGTGCTAGGATTACAGGCGAGAAATGAAAATACAAATGTAATTAGTATTTTGCGGCAGAGTCCCCAGGCCACAGGATAGGATTGGAGAGAGATAAAAGTACCAAGGTCCTCCGTTAAGTTAGTCTAGTTTTGGGGGAGCCTTCTGCGTGTGAAGCTTGGGGACAGGACAGGGCGAGGTGTCACCCAGGTGGAGCCCAGGCGGGCATTGTGGCTGACTCAGCAGCTCTGGGCTTGGGACACCGCAACCCGCGTCCCCTGGCAGGAACATACCCCCCTGCACCCTGCCCTGTGTACTCTGTACCTGTCAGGCTATGTCTGCCACGTGGGGACGTGAGAGGTAGAATTGCTCAATTTCACAGGGGCATTGACAACCTGGGACACCGTCTGTCCTGGCAACAATTTGGGGAAGGTCTGGTCTAGGGGAGAGAACACTGGAGAAAGCAAAGGGGGCCGCCTTCTTGTGGTGTCCGGAAGTTCCAAGAAGGGCTGGGCAGGGAAGAGAGGTTCCTTTAGATGGAACAGAACCTGCGAGGGGAGCTGGGCCCGGGCAGGGCCTCGCTGAATAAGATAAATCTTGCTGGTGTCAGGGAGCATCGGATGGGGCGACATGTGGCCACACAACTGCCAGGTCAGAGCAAGAGAGAAAGAGAAAGAGATTCCCAGAGCCATCCCACTCAGATACAAGTCGCATGTGTGTGTTCTGTTGTTTTCTTATTACCCACATACCATCACGCTGTGCAAGTTTTCTGCCAGGCTGGTTCCATAACTTGCCGATGGTGCAAAAGGCCATATGCACTCAGTAGAAACTGTGCAAAAGTTTTAATTTACTTGTAACCAGTTTACTAGACCGTGTTCAGATTGGTCGGTGATACCATCTTGGATGAAAACGAATTCTGGGTGTTTTAAGAAATTCTCAAGAGGCCTGGCTCTGAGTGGCTCACGTCTGTCGTCCCAACAACTCGGGAGGCAGAGGCAGGAGGATGGCTTGAGTCCAGGAGTTTGTGACTAGCCTGGGCAACATAGCGAGACCCTGTCTCTTGAAAACAAAAGCGGAAAACAAATTCAGAGTCCCCAGGCAGCGGCCGTTTCCTGAGTCCGGGCCTGGCCGTTGCTGGCTGAATTCTCTCCTCGCTGGTGGCCAGACTCCCCCCTCGACGGCCAGCTCATATCTGCTCTGCCTGTTCCCCCTCCAGCTTCATGTACTGGACCGACTGGGGAAACCCAGCCAAGATCAAGAAAGGGGGCCTGAACGGCGTGGATGTGTATTCGCTGGTGACAGAAGACATTCAGTGGCCCAATGGCATCACCCTGGGTATGTTCGAGGGATGGCTGTCCCTGCCGGGGTTGGCCACACTCTGTAGGACAGGGGGTTCCTGAACAAGCCCTGGGGTCGTTCTAACCTGCAACCCCCCACCTGCCCCGCAGAGAGGGCGACACAGGGGAGGAGTGAGACGGTGGGGAAAATGCCACACGCCACGCCGCGAGGTTCCGGCTCACACATGGTCAGAGCTGATTTTCTGGATGCTTCTCTGCTGGGGGAACAGAGCAGCCAGCCCTAAAAGGCCCCTCTGGCAATCTGGCATCAGCACGTGACCTCTTGTCATCCACCTGTGGATTCTAGATCTTTCCAGCGGCCGCCTCTACTGGGTCGACTCCAAACTGCACTCCATTTCCAGCGTTGATGTCAATGGCGGCAACCGGAAGACGGTCCTGGAGGACGAGAAGAGACTGGCTCACCCCTTCTCCTTGGCCATTTTTGAGGTGAGACTTGGGTGCTTGAGTGAATTCTCCGCGGACTGCTGTGTACTGAGAGCGACTTACGGACGAGGCGCCAGCGCTCAGGTGGCGGTTGACACACCTGTCCCCTTCATCCAAGGCAAGATGAGCGCAGAAAACTACTCCTGTCCAGGAAGAGGCCTTGGACCTGGAGTTATGTGTGTTTTCTTTCTTTTCACCAAAAGAATTCTGAAAGGCCTAAAGCAGGGCTTCTCAACTGGAAGCAATCTTGCCACGTGGGGGACATTTGGCAATTTTGGTTATCAAAACTTGGTGGCAGATACTACTGGCATCCGGGGATAGAGGCCAGAGATGCTGCTAAACAGCCCCAACAATCCCAGCACTCTGGGAGGCCAAGGCGGCAGGATCGCTTGAGGTCAGGAGTTCGAGAGCAGCCTGAGCAAGAGCGAGACCCCATCTCTACTAAAAATAGAAAGAAATTCGGCAGTCGTGGTGGTGGCGCCTGCAGTCCCAGCTACTCGGGAGGCTGAGGCAGGAGGATCACTTGAGCCCAGGAGTTTGAGGTTGCTGTGAGCTAGGCTGACGCCACCACGGCACTCTAGCCCAGGTGACAGAGTGAGTCTGTCTCAAAAAAGAAAAGAAAAAACTCAAAATACCCTCAACAAAACATTAGCAGCCTCAAAGAGCGCCACAGTGGGGAAACCTCACTCCAAAGAAACGGTGCTGTATTTATACACCCATGTTCGTAGCAGCATTAGTTACATCAGCCGAAAGGTAGGAGCGACAAGTGTCCATCCACGGATGGATAAACACTGTGCTCCGTCCATATAGTAGAATATTATTTAAATTTATGTTAATTCATGTTAATTTATCATTTAATATTATTTAAGTAATATTCCATAGCATGGAATATTATTCAGCCTTAAAAAGGAAGGAAATTCTGACACAGGCTACAACATGGATGAACCTTGAGGACATCATGCTCCGTGACATAAGCCAGACACAGAAGGACAAACACTGTGTGATTCCACATACAGGAGGTCCCTAGAGTTGTCGCCTTCACAGAGACAGGAAGTAGGATGGTGGGTGCCAGGGGCTGGGGAGTGAATGTTTCATGGGGACAGAGTGTCAGTTTCGGAAAATGAGAAAGTTCTGGAGGTGAAGGGAGGTGATGGTTCCACAACATGTAAATGTGCTTAATGCCACTGAAGTGTTGATGCCCGGGTGCGGTGGCTCACTCCTGTCATCCCAGCACTTTGGGAGGCCGAGGTGGGAAGATCACTTGAGACCTAGAGTCTGAGACTAGCCTGGGCAACATAGCGAGACCCCGTCTCTACAGAAAAGAAAGGAGGGGTTACGATGGTACATTGTACGTTATGTGTATTTCACGACGATGAAACACTAACAGTGGCGGAGACACTGGTCTGTGTCCTTTCTCAGTGGCTAATGCGATCTGTCATCTTCCTTACTGCCCCTGTAGGACAAAGTGTTTTGGACGGACATCATCAATGAAGCCATTTTCAGTGCCAACCGCCTCACGGGCTCGGACATTAATTTGGTGGCTGAGAACCTGTTGTCCCCGGAGGACATGGTCCTCTTTCACAACCTCACACAGCCGAGAGGTAAGGATGGGGTTGGCCGTACCCCCCACTCCCCACCTTGAGACTTCCTCACGGATACTCTGGAATTTTCTGGAATATTCTGGAATTTTCTGGGCTAGTTCATTCTCACCCTGACTCCTCACTCTTTCTGCCCCAGGGGTGAACTGGTGTGAGAGGTCCACACTCCCCAACGGTGGCTGCCAGTACCTGTGTCTCCCGGCCCCGCAGATCAACCCACACTCGCCCAAGTTCACCTGCGCCTGCCCCGACGGCATGCTGCTAGCCAAGGACATGAGGAGCTGCCTCACAGGTGGGGCGCAGACTTTGCTTCTGTTGCTGCCAAGCCTCTCTTTGCTCATCCGTGAAATGGGTACCTCGAGGTCATGAGGACTTTGCCTCGCTCGAATGCTGGGTGCATTAGCATAGTGCTAGACATTTAGACCAGGGTCCTGTCCCCCTGTAATCTCATTCCTGACAGGGGCAGAGACAGGGGAAATATACCCCATTCTTGAAGATTCTTCTTAACCTCTTGATCAAGTCTCAAATTGAGGCCAACAGGTCTGGTCTTTTTTTTTTTCTTTTTTTTGAGATAGGGTCTTGCTCTGTCACTCAGGCTACAGTACAGTGGTGTGATCGCGGCTCACTGCAGCCTCCAACTCCCGGGCTCAAGTGATCCTCCTGCCTCAGCTTCCTGAGTGGCTAGGACTATAGGCACGCACCACCACACCTGGCTAATTTTTGTATTTTTTGTAGAGACGGATCTCGCTATGTTGTCCAGGCTGGTCTCGCACTCCTAGCCTCAGGCGATCCTCCTGCCTCAGCCTCCCAAAGTGCTGGAATGACAGGCTCGAGCCACCACACCCAGCCAAGAACACCTTCTTAACACTTGCAAATCTCTCTTTTGAACAACAGATAACAGGATGATCGTAGCGCGGATATCCGTGGGCATTCGTTTTTAGTTATTTCTTGGCAGCCGACGGACAGCCCTTGCTTCTCACTTGTCTTTGGGGGCACTCAGGAAACGTTTGTTTATTCTTTCAGAGGCTCAGCCCATCCCAACCACCCAGGGGACCTCCAGGGTCAGCTCTCCAGCCGTGGGGCCAAAGCACACGGCCACCCGGCCTGCTCCTGGCACCTCCCGGACACCTGAGGCCGTTTCTGGGTTCACCACGGTGGAGATGGTGACAATGTCATTCCAAGGTAAAGTTTGGGCCCTCTCTGGCTGGGCCCTTCACAGGCTACATACAAGATGGAGCTTGGGGGGAGCTCTGGCCCCCTCGCTGACTGTGTCTGACTTGGGCTGTATATTTCTGAATCCTGTTTCCCTGCCTATAAAATGGGCCCAATACCAGTGTTCCACCTCCTGGGGACCAAGGGCGCTAAATCTTGCAAAAGGCCTGAACCCTTGAAGCCGTTGGTCCTCCGTGCTGGCCAGGCGCAGGGACCCAGGTGCCTGAAATTTTACCAAAGCCCATTCTCTGCCTGATTTTTAGGACTAGCATGAGGTGAAGGAGGCATTATTTAAGACACATCATTTGACGGTGCCCCCCAAAACTCAGGAAGCCTATACGATTTTTTAATTTTATGTTTTAGAGACAGGGTCTTGCTCTGTCACCCAGACTTGGAGTGCAGTGGTGTCATCATAGCTCTCCGTAGCCTCGAACTCCTGGCCTCCAGCAATCCTCCCGCCTCGGCCTCCCAATGTGCCCAGATTACAGGCGTGAGCCACTGCACCTGGCCTCCAGGAAAATTCTAATGCAATATTTTTATTTAAAAAAATCAAATCCGCCGGGCACTGTGGCTGGTGCCTGTAGTCCCAGCTACTCAGGAAGTGGAGGCAGGAGGATCACTTGAGCCCAGGAGTATGAAATTAGAGTGAGCGATGATGGTGCCACTGTCCGCGAGCCCGGGTGACAGATCACGACCTTGTCGCTTAAAAATAAATAAATAAATAAAATCATCAGGGGCTGGCCCAGCTGGTTTTGCAAAGAAAGTTTTACCAGAGCCAGGGTTCCAAAGAGGCTGGGTCGTTGCAAGTGTAGGATAAGATACTATCTTTCTTGGAAAATTTCGATATTTTGTTCATCATGGGATTTTTGCATTCATTTTGATTTTTAAAAATAGTGTCTTAAAATATTACTTGAGTCTTGATCAATTCCTCGGTGTGTCCACCAGAGGGCACCAAACTCAATATTCGCTGCCCGGAAGTGAAGCCCTCCCGGACGTTTCTAGCAAGGGAAAAAATAGAACGCATCAGCAAATTTCAGACAATTTTTTTTTTTTTTCAGAGTAGCTGAAGCTTTTGTTCAGCCCCGAGCGAGATAAAACAGGAATTGATGTAGGTGAGGGAGGCGAGGAAGCGTCTTGCTTCCTCGTTTACTGCTAGGAAAACCATGTCACCGATGGGCCACCCAGGGACTTCTCGAGTTGGGCAAAGGAGCCCTTTGAAGGGGGAACGGTTCCGAAGGGTCCTTCTGTTGCCCTAAGTTATTTTTATCTCAAGCTTTCTTAAATAGGCACAAATGCGAAACTCGGTCTAAACGCATTATGTGCACGTGCGACAGTCAAATGGAAACCCAGGTGGATTCGAACGTCACGAAGGATGGTCAATCACCCCTCGCTGCAGGGACATGCGACCCCGATGTGGCTCATTCCGTCTTCCACCCTTTGGCCCGTTTGGAGCACTTAAAATGTTGTCTTGCCCAGGGCCCCTATGTCGTACGGCCGAGGTGAACCTGCACGGTTTTGTACTGAGGTCATTGCCATCCCATAATGTCTCTCGTTGGCCTGGGACCGTTGGTACAGGACGGTCAGGCTTTGGTGCCATCTCATCCAGGCACTGAGATTTCTGAACGCTGTGGGGACAGAAGGTGGCTCCCTGGCCCCATCCGGAGTGCGCTCATTCCGATAAAATGTACATCCAGGTTGAAACATTCCACCCTGGACTTCGTCAACCATGGAGAGCAGATGTGCAGTCTTCAGGTCTCTCTCTCTCTTTTTTTTTTTTTTTTAACAGACAAGGTCTCGTTCTGTCACCCAGTCTGGAGTGCAGTGGCACAATCATAGCTCACTGCAGCTCCAAACTCCTGGGCTCATGAGATCCTCCTGCCTCGGCCTCCTGAGTAGCTGGAACTATAGGTGTGCACCACCACGCCTGGCTAATTTTTTAAATTTTTTGTAGAGATGGGGTCTTGCTATGCTGCCCAGGCTGGACTGACACTCCTGGGCTCGAGTGATTTTCCCATCTCGGCCTCCCAAAGTGCCGGGTGTCGGGTGTGAGCCGCCGCACCCGGCTTAAAGAGCCTCCTTAAATCCCAGTTGAATCCCACAACGCCAGTGACTCCTGGATACGCCAGAGTGGCCTCTCGGATTTGGGAGGTTCTCCAGGTGCCCTTGAACTCCCCAGGACAGGGAGATGTGTCGGGTGTTTTTCTGCATGCGACTGTCGTACGCCTGCTGTGCTTTCTGTAGGCCTCACTTCTTCCCTTCTCCCCCGCAGCCCTGGGTGACGCGGCCGGCAGAGGGAACGAGGAGAAGCCCGGGGGCGTGGGGGCCCTGTCCATCGTCCTCCCCATCGGTAAGCGTGGGCCAGTCCCCCCAGCCTCACCCAGGTGACAGCGTCCCGAAACATGACCTCATGCCCAGCCGGGCCCGTTCCCCTGTTCTCCCCGGAAGGGGGTGGCCCCACTGAGTGTCCTCTTCATGGCTGGGGACACAGCTGGGAAAGAAAGAAACATCTCACCTCCTGGGGGCTGACGGAGAGCAAAGCCAGGCAGGGAAGGTGTCAGGTGGGGGCCCTAGAGCTGGGATGTGTCCTCCAGGGAGAGCTCCGGCCAGACCGGAGGGATTCGCGGGCACCTTGTGACCGGCCGGTTCTCTTGCAGGGGGGGCAGGTAGGAGAGCTCCACTCTCCCGCCTCACCCCTGCTCATTGTGGCTCGATGAGCACCATGACCCTTTTCCTGTCCCTCGAGGCGTCCTTTGGAGTTGTTGCCTAGATCACTGCAGTTATGTGGCCATGGGGTGACAAACACGGCAGTGGGACTCTCATCTTCAGGTCTTCGGGGTGACACCCACCCGGGGTCTTTCTAGTGGAGCCCGAGTCTCTGCCCACTTCTGGGCACTGGCCGGAATCCGTTACCAACGCCTCTGAGCGCGCCCGCGCCTGCCCCTGGGGCGATCGCGGTTGACGCTCACGGGAACCCTGGAGGGTGGGCCGGGCGC